AACAGTATTGTAGAAATTCATTTCACCGAAACAATAACGTGGCGCACAGTGTGACGTCAAAAAATGCGCACACCTTTGATGCTGCGTTTTCTCCGTTTTTCTAGTCCACACAGAAATGCAAAAACTGAGTTTTCAAAAATCTTCATTTTCAGTGACCAAAAACGCCATTTACGTGTGGACGAAAGGTGCAAACGCATACAAAAATCTGCGTTTTCAAAAATACCCGGGTACATGTGGACGTAGCGCATGCACCAGTTTATTGTATTTCCAGACTTGCTTTCGGCACATTTACAGTGCACGCTACTCTGTTTTTTGTCAGACTTGAAATAGCCGAAATACCTTCACACTACGGAATTTCTATGGCTCTTCTGTTCGACAATATCTCCGGCATTGGAACCATCATCTGTTTTCTCTTCGGTCACGCTCGGTTGATTTTTCTAGTCGGCACACTCATTTCCTCCATTACCCGGGCGGTACGGTGGCTGGCTGCTTCCCAAACAAATACACATGTGCGGCTTGGCACTTGTGCTGTAAGTAACAAGTCACGTGACGTGACGCTGCGGCGTGATTGGTTCGGCTCTGCGCTACGTAATTTGGATTGGCTATTCTTTTCTTTTTCTTTCTTTTTTTTTTAAGAGGACAAGAGCGGCGAGGTCTATCGCGATAGTTAAATTTTTCTATCGAGAAAAAGTTATATCGCGATACATATCATTATCGTTCTATCGCCCAGCTCTAAATACAACCATTACAGCCAAAATTTTAATAATATGTCTGCATTAAGTGCATAGTAATTACATAATTGGAAAAAAGTGCAATAAATTACAAAAACATTTAAAATCGTTTTTGTTTTTTTAACATATATTTCTAGTTAGAGAAATTTAAGAGGCTCATCCCTCAAAACTGTAAATACAAAAAAGTTGCACAAAATAGTTTCCCACCACAGGAAATTTATTTTAAGTGTCTTCATAGTTTTATTTTTGAAATACACCAATTTTTATATACTGCAGGAAAAACGAAAATAAATATTATAATGCAAATTTGCAAAAAAACAGCATGTGCATCAAATAAACTATTTCCAGCAGAGCAATATGAGTCCTAAGCATCCCAGAAACGACACAGAAAGTCACAAAGTCAAACATAACTTTTAAAAACACCAGTATAGGCTCATGAGGCCCTAATGGTAAAAAACTACATTTCCGCAAAATGATGTCACTTCCGGTTTCGGGCAGGTAATGGCGGACATGCAATAGTTCACGCTGATGGACGTAGGAAGTGTTACAAACAAACAAACAAACAAACAAAAAAAAAGGAAGTGTTACAAACAGCTGATCGGATCAGCAAAGCGTGTTTCTGGAATATTATGTTTTTGTTGCTGCAAGTGCTTTTTATGCAGTTTTTGCAAAGCTATATGTGGAAGGAAACTGTGACCTAGGACAAGCTGATGGCATAAGATGTAAGTACAACTCCTCCAGTTTCATATGCAAAAAAAATGATTGTGCTAGCTTACGTGGTTGCAGTGCTACCGGGATTTAAAAATAGTTACGCAAAACGAAGCGTGGCCGCCCCGACCGGCTTTAAAGGGTTAAAGCCACCCGTCCACTCTCTTGCATTAATATCTGCAGTGTGCAGGGCTGCTCTGCAAAGGGAGCACAGGGTGTACTCCACTACATTTATTTTAGTTACTAATTAGCATGTCAATCAAACTATAAATAACAAATCAAGACTAGCAGCTGCCAGTGCTAACCCTCAGCCTCCAGGCTGTACAACCGTCAGGTGGCACCAGTCCCTGAAAGTTGTAGAAAACATAATTACCAGTATCAGTTCAAATGGCCAAGTAGGAACACAAAGTCATGATAAATCTATAAAGCACTGAGATACCGTCACTTTGTGTTATTGGCTTTGTTATGGTGAGGACTGCAGCTGGACCATCGGGGGTTTTGACTGATATTCTACTCAAACCTGTTAGCATGTATGCCATAGAGATAACATTGAAGCAGAGTTACTGGAGCGACTAATCAGATGAGCTGTTACGTGTAAGTTCATTTCATCCACCCTAGAAGGTGTGGGTGTTTATGAGAGACACACCTTTTTTTGATCAAGGTCTTTTTATTGAACAAAAAATTGCTTTTAACAACAATTAAAGCAGTATTAACAAACAGCCCCCCCCCCCTCCCCAGAACAGTGTAACTAAAACCCAGCCAGAGAAGAAAGAAATAAGATAAAATAAAATTACAGATAAAAAGTAAATAATAACATAAATGAATGCAAGCAAGGGGAAAAAACAAAACCCACACACATTAAGCAATAGTATCTGGATTTAAACTTTCAAAGTAAGTTAGAAAAGGTTTCCGTATGTCATAAAATGTCCGAGCCGAACCTTTTACAGTGTAGCCGATCTTTTCCAGCTGAGTATTGTACATGACATCCTTAACCCAGTGCCCATAGACAGATGGAAGTGGCTCTTTCCATTTCAATAAGATCAACCTACGGCCAAAAGAGTGCAAGAAGATCAGAGTGTGATTCAGAAAGACTGGCATCACCCCAAAAATGGCCATAAATGGACAGGCTGTAATTGGAATGCCACATATCTTGGACATGGTTTCAAATATACTTTTCCAAAAGCTACCCAAAGTCCAAAACATGTGAAGTACAGAAGCAGGCTGTTGTCTACACCTGTCACATGTGGGGTCAAACCCATCCTTGATTTTGCTCAATCTAGTTTTAGACCAGTGGAGACAGTGAACCACTTTAAACTGAATCACCACATTCTGGAGGCAGGTAGATGATGAAAACATCCTATTGATGATCCTATGCCAAGTCTGGGCCATCCTCTTCCCCATTGTTCCCTAAGAGATTGCAGTGTGGACAGCTTATAATTACTTAACAGCTCATAAACATCACTTATAACCCGCTTGGCGTCCAGTTTAAGATCAAAAACATCATCCAAAAGAGACGGAGGTGGACAGGACGGAAAGCACTCAGTATTAAAAGCAACAAAGTTCCTAAGTTGTAGATACCTGAAAAAATCTGACTGAGGGATCTTGAACTTAGTCACCAATTGTCCAAGTGAACAGAAGATATTGTCT